CAGCTGTCGGTCTCCGCGCTCTGTGGAGGGGGCGCCGCTGGACTGCGGTCCCTCTGCAGAAGGCTCCCCGTTCCGGGTGCGACCGTGGCTCCCCGGTGCCTAGCTTGGTGAGGAGCGACCCGCCCCGACCTCGGCAGCAGGGTTGGCCAGGGACCCTGGTGCTCTCGGTAAGCGAAAGCAGGAGGCTGGGGCTGGAAGGTCCGGGGCGGTGTCCAGTCCGCTAATCTGGGCGGGAGGTGTCTGGGACCCGCGGGGATCGGGACCGGGTGTCCCGAGATAGCTGGGAGTAAGAACCTGGAAGGTCGTTGGTCCGCGGGCGTCTCCAGCACATCTACCTGCTTCGTGTTACCTCTCGTCCTGGAAGCATAGATTGTAGGTAGCTTTTTCTCTTTGCGTTTTTTTTGGGGGGGTCGGAAATGTGATTTTTGGGTTCGTGGCCATTATAATTTTGCATGTAGCTTGAAGCTAGATTCTGTTCCACGCCCCCGGCATTTTCCTTTTTGAGTACTTTATCCTGCTCTGTATCCTGCCGTGAGGGGCATCGAGCCAGAGGGAACAATCACTTCCTCCAGGAGGAAGCACCAGGGTTCATATCTAGACTGGGAGAGATTCGCTGCTTTCCTCCGTAGTGGTGGTGGCTCTTTGCTGCTGTAGGGGAAAGGGAGAGGTGGTGTCTTGTGTGGCCTGAGACGTGACATTCTGCCAGGAAAGGACAACGGGGACTTGAATGTTTCCTACGGCAGTAAAGCTACCTTGGAGGTTAAGGGGGAATTCTGTCATTTACAGTCTAAGATTCTGCAGTTTTACTGGCTGCATCTCTCCCCACCTCAGGCAGGCTTCCCTCCTTTGGGGTATCTGTTTTACTTCTGCAGCATGATACAGACTCCAGTGAGTTTCTGGAGCAACTGTCTCTGGACAATTCAAGTTCGTTTTGAAAGCTGCTTTCCTAGACACGATCCAGTCTCAGTGCTGTATCACGGATACATCCTCTGCCTAATACAAATCCTGAGGGGTCCCCAAGGGTGAGAGGAACCAACTGAAGCAGGGTGCTAAATGAAGCATTCTGTGTGAGAGACACCGCAAAAGGTTCATTCTGTTTTATCAGTTTTCTAGAATGATTTTTATCTTTTTGTTAAAGGAATGATCTGTGCAATACCCAACCTGAAAAAAAAATCCCTTAGTCCCTAAGCTGGTTTTTCAGGATTCCAGTTTCTTCTATAGTTCATGGAGTTAAGGGCTACCCAAGCAAAACAGTGAAGGATTTACATGAAAAGAGTAAGAAGAAAGACTCCCCTTTGCCTATTTTAGGACATCTGCCAACTAAAATTCATAGGATTTTTGTTAGGTAACTGCTTCATATTCTTTGGTGCTGTATACTAATCTGTAGATGAATTTTTAAATGTACCTTCGTACCTAAATATACATAACTAGCTTGCCAGATGCATAGCTTGTCAATTTATATTTGACTTTTAAATTCATTCTAGAACCAAAGAAATAACACTTTCAAAAGCTTGTTTTTAAAATAGCAAGAACTTAGTCTAGTCTTGGTTTAGTTATCAGACAACAGGCTGCATTTTGGTAAAGTGACCATTAAACAGGGACAGAAATGTAGCTTAGTGTAAAGCACTTGCCTAGCATGAGGAAGACCCTAGATTTAAGCCTCAGTACTGTTAAGGAAAAAAAAAATTAAACAATTTAAATTTTTACACTAAGGAATATTGCATATTAGCATCTCCAAAAAGTTCATTTTTTAATGAAATTCTTTTTTGTTGTTACTGTTCTTTTGGGGTTTTTTTGAGAAGGGGTCTCATGATGTAGTCCAGGCTCCCCTTGAACTCACTGTATAGCCCATGCTAGCCTCACATGTGATCCTCCTGCTTCAGCCTTCTGAGTGCTGGGATTACAGGCATGTGCGCCACCATGCCCAGCTCAGATGAAATTCTAAAAGCCTAGTTTCAGAGCACAGGCTTCAAAACAGGCAGTGTTGGGGAGTTTTGTAATCTTGGGCAAGCTGCTTCCTTTATAGATGGAGATGCCACCACCTACTCACCTTGTGATATTGTGGGTAGGCTAGAAATGTATGTAAACATGCTTAGTACTGCCTGATTACATGAGTTGTTCTGTAAATATCAGCTATTAGCATCATTAACTCTCACTGACCTCCAACTTTGTGCACATTATAGTGGAAAAGTATGAGCAGCAGGTCACCGTCAAAGTTATACAACTAATTTAAGCACAGAATGACAGTAATGTTAGAATTTCCTAAGAAGACGTATGAAAAGTAGCACCTCCTGGATGAAACATACAGTTTTAGAAGACATACCTGATGAAACAGTGGAAAGAGCTAGAGAGTAAAACTCTGTACTTTCCATCTCTGGTTAGGACCTTGCTTTTTACCAGACCAGTTGACCCCTTTGAAGTTCAATTTTGTTATCTGGCTGGACTTCAATGATCTCAAATCTGTAACATCCTTTGTAACATCAAAATTCTTCTGGTTTTGTTTTGGTTTTTTTGAGACGGGGTCTTGTTATATAGTTCAGGCTGGCCTTGAACTCACAACAATTGTTCTGCCTCAGTCTCCCAAGTGCTGAGATTACAGTCATGTGCACCACACCCAGCTTGTAGCTTCAAAATTCTTAATTGCACATGATAAAAATTACATTAGCTTGCTTATCAGCCTGGCTTTCATTTTTCTTGTTGCTGTTTGCTAAACTTGTAATTTAGGGTCATAAATAATTCATAAAGACAGCACAGCTAAATAATTGGTAATATCAGATCTGCAGAATAATCCAAAATAAAATTTTAACAAAAAAAAATTTACAATGAAATCTTTTTGACAGTTGACCGAGCAAAAAGTAAACCTCAATTTCTGTCCTCATTTCAGTAAGTTATATGGTAAATATGTCTGGTCTCTTTAGAAAATAGTAGGCTCATTGTGAAATAAAACACCATTTTCTTTTCTCTCATCAGGTTGATCTTTAGGTAAAGCAAAAATGTACCCACTAAAGAGTTTTCATGAAGAAATTAGGTATTTGTTTACTACAGAAACCGTCTAAAACAACAGAATGGAGTAAAGCAAAAGGAATGAATGATACGCCTGGAAAATTTTTTACTGAGTTGTCCTATTTTTGTCCACCTTCTATAAGGATGCTACAGGAAAAGGAGAATACAGTTTTCTAGAGAATTAAACAGTGTAGTGTAAAAATGGAGGCCACAGTTTCTGAAATTCAAGTAGAAAATAAAGATGAGAAGAGATCTGCAGAAGTTAGCCCACAGGATGAGAAACAGAAGGAGAAAACATCCATGCTTTGCTTCAAGAGAAGAAAGAAAGCAGCCAAGGTGCTGCAGCCTAAAAGTGACTCTGAAGCTGCCGAGGCAGCCCGGAAGCATCCCCTAGAAGCCAGGGATTCTGACCAGCCACAGCGTCCTGGGGGTGCCTGGGCCTCAATCAAAGGCCTGGTAACACACAAGAAAAGATCAGACTCTTCAAAGCAGCAAAAGCCACTTGAGGCTGAAGTGCACCTTCAGGCTGGGGATGCTGATCTTTCTAAGAAAAAGGCTAAATCCAGACTTAAGATTCCCTGCATAAAATTCTCAAGAGGGGCACAAAAGAGTAATCATTCCAAAATTATAGAAGACTTAGACTGCAGTCTGAAAGCCCAGGGTAAGGCAGAAGCTATGGATATACAAACTCAGACCCAATCTGATGACCAGGCAATGGAGGCTCAGTCTACCCAACATCAGAGGGAAGAAGGTGTCCCACGAAAAGACGGGAATGAGCTCTGTGAGTTGAATGTGAGCACCAGCATAACATCTGGAGAGAATGTGATTTCAGTTAAATTGGAATTAGATAATGGGCATTCAGCTATCCAAACAGGAACTCTACTCCTTGAAAAGGAAACTGAAACGATGGAGGAGAAGCCAAGCGTTCAATCCCAGCAAGCAAGCCTACCTGAAAGTTCAGAAACAGACAATCAGCAACCAGTGGCTTTTGACGCCACTCCTTCACCCATGATATCAGATCAACAAACTGTGGAAAAACCCAGCAACAATACTCCGGAAGGTGAACCAAACTGGAAAGACTATGACAGTAGAGAGACTATAGTTGAGAAAGAGAATGAGCAAAAGGATACTAAATTGAGCCAGGAATCGGACTCGAAAGAAAATAAGGTCAATATAGAGAAACCCAAATCAGAAGAAAGCAAAAGAATGGAGCCAATTGCTATTATTATTACAGACACAGAAGTCAGTGAATTTGATGTTAAAAAATCTAAAAATGTCCCTAAACAATTCTTAATTTCAATTGAAAATGAGCAAGTAGGGTTTTTTGCTAATGACAGTGATTTTGAGGGAAGAACTTCAGAACAGTATGAGACACTTTTAATAGAAACAGCTTCTTCTCTCGTCAAGAATGCTATCCAGTTATCTATAGAACAGCTGGTTAATGAAATGGCCTCTGATGATAATCAAATCAACACTTCTACAGTGACTTAATTTCCAGGTCCTGGGAGGAAAAAAAGCTTACAGATGAACTATTTACACATTTGTGGCATTTCTTATTCCGTAACAAGTGAAAGATTTATCATCTGTGGAATTTAAAAGTACAGTTACAGCACAGAAGTACTACAAAATAAGTCAAATTTATGAAACTCTCTTTACCACTGAAATGCAGTCACTTCTAGATTGGAGGAAGTCAGCAGAGACTGCAATACAAAGTAACATCGGGAGTTGTTAAATGGAGACTGGAGTCCTTTGGGGAAGGAAGATATATTTATTGAGCACTTACAATATGCCATAAGATTTTTACTGGCTCTTCTCTGCTGTTAGACGCTCGGGTTTCCTTTTGATAGTTCAGCCTGTGTACAGGTCAACATCACATTTGGTTTTCAAAGACTTTTTTTTTACAGTGCACTTTTATAGTGTTTAAAATGGTGAAAAAGGTGAGTTATTTGTGTGAATGTGTGATTCTATTACACTCCTAAGCAGTAGTCTTACCTCAGAAAATATAATGCATTTTTCTAATTGCAGCAGAGAGTGTGCAGAATATGCATTCTGGAATTGAACGAGTGATTTTCTAGTTTTGCTCGTCCCTTACAAAAGCAACTCAAATTGCTTGACAGAGGCAATAGTTACCAAGTGCAGAAGAGTGGAAATGGGCAACGCAGTTTCCCTCCCCACCTTCCTTTTGCCCCCAGCAGACTTGTACACATCCATTTCTGCATGGGCTTATCTGCTGAAAACTTTAAAAATAAAACAAGGGGAAATGGTACTTTTGATCTGGAAGACAAGCTTCCCAAGTAACCATCACAGATAACTCTGAATTCCTCTTGCGGAAATACTTTTCTAAGGACCCTGGCCATCAACCTCTCTTCAAAGAGTGGAGAGGGGATTCTGCGAGGCCTGATAAAAGGTCCCAGGAAACCCTAACACTTCTAGTGAAAACGTTATTCTTGGCCAAGAATGAGCCATGTACAGTTACTGCTAGAGCACATATTTTAATGGCAGTGTTTTATCATGATGTCTATGTGTTAAGACCAGTAAAAAGCATTTTACATGAATATTGAAAATTAACTTTTCATAATTTTCAGTTCAGTTGATACTTTACAAAAATGAGAAGGGCTCATTTGCATTTCATTCAGTTTTTTAAAAAGAAGCATCTAATCACATCAATGACTGCTATATTTTTTGAGAAACCCATCCTATTTCAATGCTTCCCTGTGTGAAATGGCCGCAACCCTACAACACACTTCCCTACCTCACTGGTTAGGGCTCCTCTTGCATATCCCCTCACTGTCTAAGCTGAGTCATGGTGTTACTACCTGAAACGGATGAGGTAATGGAAGTGGATGAGTATGAATGCTAAAGTATTTGTTGAAGAGCTTCATCTTGGAGGAAAGAGTATTGGATATTTGATGTGATCTGGGTGAATTCTTGCATTATCAATGGATTGCATATAGAAAGTATGTGCTAATTTTTTTCTATAGTTTGGTGTGTGTGTGTGTGTGTGTGTGTGTACATACTTAATGGGACCTCTGACAGAAGCAAATCTGACTTTGGAGAGAAGTAAATAATGAATATTAGCAAGATTCTTTGCTGAAGTGCAAAAGTACCTGCCTTCATGTTTATAATCTTAACGGGAAAATCCTTCCATTTGATGAGATCAAAATGGGTTTCACGTGCCCAAGAGATCAATTTAATTGTACAACTTTTAAGCATTTTTAATTAAAAAATTAAGATCTCCTGAAAAAGTTATTTAATTCACTGTATGTGGTGCTAATGGACTTAGCTACCAGCAAATATCATATTTTAAAATGAGCTATTCAAACAATCTTATGAAGATTGGTGGATTTTGCAGTTTTGAAGAATCCTTTCATTTATCAGAAGGATGGCACCAAGCTGATGTAGTTATTGATTTTAATAATATCTTATGAAAAAGCAAAAAGTATAGCACTTGCCAGTTACTGAAAGTATTCTGGAAGGGTTAGATATATTTTGGGAATTAAAAAAAAACAATACGTAAATTTTTTTGGTTAAAAAAGTAACATTTTTATCCAAGTAGTTATAGGTTTCTATGTTTTTTTTTTTTCCACAATGGTTTGACACGTGTACTTTTTTTTTATTTGGTACCGGGGATTGAACTCGGGTCCTTGCGCTTGCAAGGCAGGCCACCGAACCACTGAGCTAAATCCCTGGCCTGACAAGTGTATTTTTGATTAGAATGCATTATGAGTGATTACTTTTATATGGTAAGATATATACTCTACTTGTGTTCATTGTTAGGCAGTTTCTTCTCAACCTAATCTGGTAATTTACATGAGAGGATTTCTATTTTAAAACAATCCAGAAATTAATTAATCTAATATCTGCTCCATGGTCAAACCATAAAAAATTCTAAGGTGATAAAAACTGTATTGTTATAAAAATAAATAAGAATTAGATTGCTTAAAAACCTCTCATAAAATAGTATTAGAAACCTCACATAAAATAATAGTATTTAAGCAATCTGGCCTTTCACACAAAACATTAAGTGAACACAAATAGGTTCTGATTCTCTTCATATCCAAATAACATTAAAATGGTCATTTAAGGCTTAAATTTAAGAATACTACATTAATTTTCATATAAATCTGTTGTGGTATGAATGCTACTTTTAATATAGTTTTATTAGCTAAGATTCAATTTCTCTTTTGAACTGAGAATTTTTACAAGATTGGGGGAGTTTCTCAGATACATGTTAATCTTTTAAGTATATTATCTTCCCTGAGTTAAGTATTATTCACTTTGCTTCTTACAACACAAAATATGAAAATTCTCTTGTATTTTATGTAGCACTATTCACTTAACATTTTTTCAAAGCACTTTACAGGATATAAAAATAGTACCTGGTAACATTTAAATAAAGGTAGCAGAAAACAAAAGAACTCTGAAACAGAAATTATGTTCCCTGCCACCTCCTCTAGCTCAAAGAATAATAAGCATGTGGCATAAATATAGTTCTGTAGAAGAGCTGTCTGCATAATTTTCTTTCAGGATAATGTATCTGACAGCATAAAGTTTGTGATGATTTTAACGGGGCTACTATTTAGTAGGGTCTTAGAAACTCTCTGACGTACTTGAGAGATTGTTATTTCACTAATATACTGGTCATAAGTGAATAAGCTTCTTGCTAACAGCTGTCAGGGCTGTGGATCATGAGAGGGCACCATTCAGGTTTGGTTCTGCTCGGTAGTCCAGAGTTAATTTCATCTATAAACTTCTAATTCAAGTTGCCTTATTTTTATAGTTAAGAATTTTTTAAGGGTTTACAGAAGAATTTTAAAAATAATGGTTCAATATTAGAATCTTATTGTTTGAAAAGATCCTTTTAACTTTACTGAAATATGTAAAGTCTACTTTCTAATTTCATCTGATAACCAAATACATCAGGGTATGACTTTTCTGCCTGCTATTTCTTCATTTTTAAAATACCCTCACTTAAGTTTCACAGTTCTTTAGGTTCAAATTCTTATGATGTTTTATTGTATAATATAAAGTTTTTTACACAGAATTCAAATTTTCAATCCATAGCATGTTTTATGATACATTTTTAAAAATTATTTTATGGTGATTCTTAGCTACAAAAATGTATTAAAATGAAGCTACATAAAACGTAGGAGTCCTGCTTCAGTTCCCATTGGTTCAGCACACATTAGGTATAACGCCTGCCAAAACTCTTTGATAATGGGATGTTTTGCTGCCCTCCATGAGCTCAGCCCAGGGAGCGGCAACAACAGAAGCAGGGACAGGAGTTAATGTTGTCTGGTGAGGGGAAGTTGGTGACCTGAATACAGCAGCAGTTTGAAAGCATTCAGTTTTAAAATAAAAAGTACATTCATTCTGACTTGTAATTAGGTGCAGAAAAAGGCCTGCTTAATGTTACATATTTATAGTTCTTTGTAAAAATGTTAAGTGGATGAGCTATTATGAAAGTAAGAGTTCCATTTTCTTTTTCTCTTTAAAATTAGTATATTACTGTGGATCAGATGCTAGTATAAAAGAAATAATACTCTGTAGAGAAAAGACTTCAAACTGAATTAATTTCTGTACTGATTATGAATATAGAATAAATGTTATAATAACTTGTTTACTTATTCATGTCATTCAAAAGAAACATGGTAAATTATGTTCATTTCCTAAAATGATAAAGATCACATTGATGAAACCATTTAGTTAGCTCTACCAGAAGTTCCACCCTGCCAGACACTGGACAGACTTTACCAAATACATGTCTAAAAGAGTACACGTTTAGCAAGACATACACCAACACCTAGAACTCTGAACTAATTCAACCTAATAACAGTTTGAATCTGAAGACATCTACATGAATTTGACAAAGGCACAGTTTCCAGGCTGGGGCAGTAGTGCTTGCCTAGTGTAAGAGAAGCCCTGGGTTTGAACCTCAGGAATGGCAGTGGGGGACAGGGCTTTCCTCATTTCTCGCTACTCATTAGTTGCCTTTCTGCACTATTTTAATGAATTGTTAAAAATTTCTGTGGTTTCCCAAATAACCAAGCCATCTTAATACACAGTCATGGGCTGGGGATTTAGCTCCATAGTTCCGCTACCTGCCTTGCAAGCACACAGACCTAAGTTCAATCCCTGGTAACCCCCTCCCTCAAAAAAAAAAAAAAAGAAAAAGATAACCAGAACTGCTGGGGATTTAGCTCAGTGGTTCTTCTGCCTGCCTTTTAAGTGCAAGGTCCTGAGTTCAATCCCCAGTAAAACAAAACAAAATAAAACAAAAAACAGTCATTCAGATGGTGCCTGTTAAAGCTGGGTATTTCAAAAGTTCTGTGTTTACCAAGGCACTGATTTCATTTTGCTAACATTAACAATGCGGTTTTCTCTTCAGTACAACCCAGTGATAATAAAGGGGCTCTGTGAAAGACTGGACTTTCCAAATCTTGATTCGTGTAAAAGTTGATAGTACCTTCAAAGTCTTAAAAGTAAATCTGGTTCCATATTTCTGATACTTGTTAATATATATTCTGCACTGTATACAGGGTGTTTTAACATCACATTTTTCAGAATTTAAACTTTTAATCTCTCTAGTAAAAAAGATAACTACCTTTTCCAAAGCTTGTCCCCATAGGCAATTCTGATAATCCTTTTTAAGCATACCTTTCATGCTGAAGTTTAGAGTCCCAGTCCTTTTGTAAGTACTTCTTTTTTTTTTTTTTTTGTACCAGGGATCAAACTCGGGTCCTTGTGCTTGCAAGGCAAGCGGTGGTACCACTGAGCTAAACCCCCTGCCCAGTACTTCTTTTCTTTCATGCTGAAAGCTTAAGCTTACAGGGGGTTAAATTTCTGATCTTTGGAAAGAGTGGTTGTTTGTATTTGTGCACAACAGTTTCACAGAAAATCCTTAGGAAAGCTGGGTGCAGGCACTATGAACAAGGAAGAGATCCCAGGTGAGGGGAGAATGGTGAGGTAGCTGCTCTCCTGGAGAACTCCCAGCCTTAAAATCGTCTCTCTACTTTTTAACCTATCATGCCAAGGGCAGAGCGTTTAACAGTCTCTGCACCTTAGCAAAACTAAATGTACTTTCTTCACCATTTGCTTTATGGCTAAACTCAAACAGAACTCAGCCTTGATCTTTATGGTAATGCAATTATGGGCAAGTTTCATATACTATTCAGTTTGCTTGTAGTGGTAACACCTTGGGCCCTCCACTTCTACACTGCTCTCCTTGGAGAAGGGAGCACAGGGTGACACCAAAGTAGATGTCATTTGTACACCTATCTTTCATGTGTGTGCAGACATGCAAGTGACTGAATCCAGGGCCTCTCACATCCTAAGCATGCAATATGTCCAGGAGCTACAATCACATCTCTCCCCAAATCCCTGTGTTGACATCTGTGCTTCAGATCACAGGAAGGTGTGGTCAGGTATGGCCACCTCTGGGTCACATTGGTAATCATCTCATAACTAACACTGCTACATCATACATGCATTACTCAATCAAACAGCTTCATGTATACATCTCAGGACGGGTTCCATGTGGAACTGCCATGTGCAGAATTGTTAAGAGTATCACGCTTATTTAAATAGTTCATCCTGGAGAATTGCTGTCCTCCTGACAGAATGACCAAATTAGAATGGCCCTGGTATGGTAGAAAGTTGATGTAGACAGGAGGACAAAAAAAAATGGATTCTACTCAATTAAGGTAAGAAAAGAAAGTTAACCTGCCTTTCTGGTCTTTTATCCAGATAAAATGCCTTATCAGTGATTTCCCTGATTGCAGCGTGAATTTGCTTACAATCATCTCTAATGTTGTGGGTTTCCTCCTATTCCCTCAATATCTGGTTGATGTGTTTTACTGGAAGGATTTTTTTTTTTTTTTTTGGTACCAGGGATAGAATTCAGGACCTTGAGCTTGTGAGGCAGGTACAGTGCCACTGAGCTAAATCCTTGGCCCTTTACTGGTAGGATTCTAAATCTCATTCTGATTTCTACCATCTATGTTTTTTTAGTTTGATATAATCTAAATCAGTAAAATTTGTTACTTATTGCAGAAATTCAAAATAAATGCTTAATCTCAATGTTTAAGCCAGAACAGGAAAGGCAGGGCTGCTTCTGTGCACAGCCCAGTGCAGAAGCACTCACTCTGAGGGCTGCCCTCATCCTTCTGTGCAAGAGCTGAGTGTTGCCATCAAGGTTTGAGAGCTCTGCAGACATGCTTTAAATGAAAAGTCTTCTCTTTCTATGCCTTTCCTCCCACACTCTAAAATACTGCGGCAGAAAGAGGGAACAGGAACCACTGAGCTCACAACACCAGACTGAACAAATGTGGAAAAAGTGTTAGGAAATAAGAACCAACCCAGTAAGAAAATCTTTGAGACTCATTTCCCTGGAGTCTTTGGTCTGCATTTAAAATCCTTTCCCCTTACCTTTACAAATGTATTTTCTTCTTCAAGAAGTAATAACTGAGCCTTTATTTTCTAAACAGTCATGACAGATTCTTTAGGTTTTTCATCCCTATGACTGTCAGTCCCTCCTAGCCTCAAGTTTTTT